TATAACATGAAAGCTTTGCTGTTTAAGCTTTATCATTTTCTTTTTTCTACACTGTGTTATCACAAAAGTACAATATAATTGTTGTATTTTAAGAGCACATCTTAACATTATAAATATGTATGTTGTAATTTCCATTATTTCACATGGAGACAAAAATCTAATGTAATCTTTATCTTCATATGTTAACAAATTAAAGAAGACAACAAAATGCAGCAAAGGGATGAGCTCTGCAAATCACACACAGGTTGAGCGGAGCAGAAAAATGCTTAAAATGAAAGAAGTTATGAAGTATTGGAGTTAACTTATAATTTAGCCTGGAGTATAGAATAAGTTAAATTATTTAAAAAAAATCACAAATTAGCTATTGCTTTTGCAATATAATCACAATTTTACAAAATGATGTTTTCAAAATCACAGAGTGCTCAGTTTTAATCACTTTTAAAGAACAAAAGTAAGACCTGCTCCTCACTCCAGCCCTTTAGGTGGCAGTAAAACACTTAAACTCTGTTTGCTGCCACACAGAGGGGATGATTGGTGCAGCTAGCGTATAGATCAATGCATTCAAGTGGTACACACTTTGCCACACAACCGTAAATTCTTGTTGCAATTGAAACTACACAACCAATGTTTCAGCATTATTAAAACAATAAAACATTGAGGGGAACATCTACATGTTTATTGTTACTGCAAAAGGAGAATCAAAATAAAATTACAATTCACAGCTTTGGTTTAAAATAATCAAAACTTTGATTTTGGACAAAATCAGCTATGGTTAACTATGAATCAGACTAAAGTTTTACTATGATTTTAAATGGTAAATAGTCTGAACTTATATAGCGTTTTTTTTCAAGTCAGGCGCTTTACACTACATTCACTCATTCCCCCATTCACTCACACACACACTAATGCACTGATGGTGGCAAACTACATAGTCACAGCTGCCCTGGGGCTCACTGACACTGGCGCCACTGGGCTGTATGACCACCATCAGTAGACAATGCCTGTGGAGTGTTTTGCCCAAGGACACAACGGCACTGAAAGCTGGAGCTGGGGATCAAACCGACAACACTCCGGATGCCGGGCAAACTCATGCACCCAACACCACTGTCAACTATGTAATTAAGGTTATTTTGAATTTCCAATATAATTTTCATTTGCTTTTTTTAAAGTCTTTTTAAATAAAATCTATCAAATTATTTGCATTGTCCTATTTTGTTTTATTCTCTGTACCTTACAAGTAACATTTTGTTGTTAGCCTTTTCTTTTCCTTTTTTTTTTTCAAATTTAATGTCATTAAGGCCAAACACCTTATTTGCAACATATCAAACTACAATGCTTGTCTGCAAAGTTTTTTTTCTATAATTTTTTTTAAAACGCTCTAAGATAGCCTCTCTTGTTGATTTTCCAGTGATAGCTTCTTCCCTCCTGAGTGACCCTTTAGCCCAGGTCACATTTCAAAACAGATGATGACACTTTATACCAAGCAGCATCGTCACAGAGTCTTTAACTCTGGGTTGATTAAAGCATTTCACAACAGAACATTTTCCTGGTACAGAATCTGTCTCCTTCTAAAACACTATGATGTTCACATGTTTATTGTACCCTTATACAGTTATGTAAATAGGTGCAGGTGGCATCTTCAGCCCTGTGGAAATTTCCCATAACGTCACACAAGGGATCTTTGTGTTTTGAGTTTGCTTTAGATAAAGTTCCCAGATAACTCAGGATATTATTGTGAAAAACAACAATAGGAATCTGGAGTAAATGTCTGTAATCTTTGTGTTTTAGAATAATTTAAAGGGGAAGTCATCTTAGAACTGCTGGGTATTTATTTAGATTTCCTCATTTTAAATTAAATTCATCAGGGTGATATCCTTTACTGAACTACTTTTCAGTTCAGTTAAGGTTATCACATTATACCAGTTCTACTTGGATAGAGAAAATATCCTCAAAAGAACTTTTGTTATAAATAGTTGAAAATAACTCTCACCTGTTGCATCAGTGAAAATGTAAATGTTTAGTTTAATGTTTGAACCCAGTGACATTAATCATGTACTTTTTATTTAACATCAGCTGACCAAAACAATAATTTGATCATTAGAAAAAAACGACACAGGTCAGGCTGTAGTAAACAATACAGTAGAGTAAATACTCTACGGAATTAATTGAAAAACATATTTTCCAAAATATCTTTTGTAACAACTTTCATGTCAAACTCAGGGTTAAGAGTCAGACTTCATAGAGCTGTGAGCTGTTCTCACCAAACAATTGATTTAACCTTTCAACTTCCCATTTTAAAAACTCAACAAATACAAAGATGAAAACATAAAATCTACCACGAATATATTAAAATAAGACACTGGTTTTATTCTTTCCTCTTCAGTTCATCATGTCATGAAGCCTTAGTTTTAGCTGAGTTTTTTTCCTTTTAATCTGGTTTCAGTTTACTTTTGATCAGCAGAAGCGCCACCAGGCTACACCAACGCTTTTAGTATTATTTTATTCTATTTGAAAAAGAAATAGATCATAATTTCCCCATTTGGCATAAAGCAAGGCTTGTTTCCAAATATTTAGTTTTTTATACATATTTTAGACTGAAACAATTTTTCCTGCTCTGTTTGTTTAAGTAAATCGATTAAAATGTGAACCATATTTATTATATGAATTCACACTAATTGAGTGATACATTTAGCTAATTAATTTTAACTTAAGTTTGTCAAGTAAATTTGTATTTGTACATTGCTCTTCCACCATTTTACATTACAACCTAAAGTGCCTCATAAAGAACGCAATAAAGGGAACCAGAAAGAGGAAAAGGTCTCATGTCTTAATACAAATATCTTTAGTTTTTTCTGTGAGTTTTGTAGCTCTGGCTTTCATTTTTTTTTTTTTTTATATTACATCAAAACAGTGTTTGCAACAAATTCCAAGGCATTAACATTTTTCAAGAGATTAAAGGGCCACTGCCATAGGATGGAGACCCATTTTCTAGCCCCACAAATTTAACACAAACCAAAGACATGGTTAAGAGTGTCAGATTTTTGTGATAAACTTTATGATGAGCAAACCTTTTAATTTTGTCTGGTATAGCCCCATGTGACACATGTCTTGAAAGGAGCTACATTATTACATTTTACAAACTTAATGTAAGCGTACCAGGTATATTATTGGAAAAAGTCTCCTCAACTCAGCTGTTCAAAGTGCTTCTTTAAGATGATATTAACGTTTACGGTTCATGTGCAAAATCATTTCAAAAAGTTTTTTTGCAAGCAAAAGGCAACAAAAATCTAACTGTTTTCAGGTTTTCACTATTTGTGCTGGCTTGAGGAGCTCTGTAATCTGCTGGGGTTGGTGCAGTGTGTTTTCTCAAGGTTTAAGTCATGTAGTCATCTACCAGATTTTATAACAGGTCATGCTTCCCTTAGCTTGTAAGCTTTATGGTATATTTCCCAACAGGACTCAACACCTGGTCACACTGTCAAAAACACCAGATTTAATGAGCATAGTATCCTGATGCTGACCTAAAGCCTATAATGATAAAGCAATCTGGGCTCCTTAACACTTCAGCAGCCACATGCTGTTCATATATATGCTAGGTACTGTTCATCCAGGTGTTTCCATCAAATATTGAGTGTACAGATTGCAGACACATTTTAAAAGGTCAGCATTCTGTGATAAAAAATCATTACTTATTGATCTAATGTAAAAGTTATTTTCTGAGGAAGTTGGGTTCTTGGTTGGTATTATCTGTAAATTTTGTTTATTATCTTTAGTCCATGTGAACCAGAATTAACTCAAAATGAAAAGTGTCGCTTTTAAAATAGGATTACAGAAATTCACTGCTATTGGTAGTCTTACTTATTTTAGAAGCACCTGTAATATTTTAGAGCAGTAATCAAACAGCAGAATAAACAAAAAGAAGCACCGCCAGCACTGTAAACTCAACATTACGTCCATGTTGTTTTTTTGTTTTTTCTGAATGGGAGTTATTACAGGCTGTAGTGTGGGATGGAAAATATATTTAGCTGGATACTGCATCAGTCTTATTTCGACTCAGGGGAAGGTGACACTGACATTGCCGCTGCTTTGCTCCTGCTCAGAGCAGCTGGATTCCTGCACATTCCTTTAAATGTGGCTATCAGAAAAATAAATCATGTCAGTTCTGTTGTTTTCACTGTACAGCCCAAAAGATGCATATTTTAGCGATCCCTGATAATCTAACCGGGGGAGATCAGCCCTGACCTCTCAAGCTTTTCTGTTTTCTTTCTTCGCCTCTTTTCTTCTCGCCTGCAGCCAAACCGGTTTCACTCGAAAGCGGCTCTGATTGTGTTACTTAACAATATCTCCAAGAAAACACATGCAAACTGCAAAGAGAGCAGGAAAGTACAATTTGCGGTCTCTGAGGGCAAACAGAAAAGAGAAGAAATTCTTGCTGCGGTCTGAGTTTTAAGAGCAGCTGGGTTTAGCGTCCTGTCAGAAGTCCTGGGCCACATTCAAATATCCAATCTTTTTGAGGTAGGGGGTTTAAAGCTTAATGTCTGCAGATGTGATTAAAATAAATAATTCCTTGCCTCTAAAAACTAAGTAAGATAATTGCACCCTGTGGCATAAACAACCTCTCCTTTGATTTCTTGTGCCTCGGATTGTACTCCAATTTGACTTCACCTCTAAGCCCATTCTTAATTCTCTCACACTGAACCTTTGCTATAATAGCTGAGCATTAAAACATAAGAACCTGAATTAGTAACAGCTAAAAAAGCATCAGACGCTTATTGACACTGAAACCAAACTTGATGGCCAAACAGGAAATTCAAGATATCTGATAGGGGGTTAAAGCTAATGCGTTTTTTCCTGTATCTGTGATAAGCTGACTAAAACCTTGCAAATGCAAATGTTAAAAAAATCATTAGGTGCAACATTGACCTGAATCATCGTACAGAGCCCAAAGATCATTAAAATAGATAAAAAGGAGAGGAGAAAAAGCACTAGACATGATAAAAATAAAATAAATCTTTATTATGGTATTAACTTCTCAGTTTTAGAAAAATATTTACAGTTGAGTTGCTGGTCAGCAATATCTGGGTTGCACATTTACACGAAAGGCTCTTGCAAAAACGATGAAGAATAAGATCCCAAAAATAAAAGAAGTCATTTAAGGTATTACAGAAAAAAATCATAGCAGCAATGCCTTCAGAGCTTTAAATGGTGTTAGTGCTTAATGGTGCTGCATCATATAATGTGGAAAAAGTAGGTCTGACAATAAAAAACCTGCTCAGTGCATATCTTTATGTAACGTTAACTGGCACCGTGTAAAATGTGTCTGCTGATATGAGCCAAGCTGGATGCTGATGCACATTCCTGACAGTACAGGGTGTCAGTGAAATGGGTGTTTGGAAAATAAGAGCAGCGCTCTGCACTGATGCTCACATTCCTCACACCCCTGTCGGATGATCGTCCTGCTGCCCTTTCACCATTTTGAACCTTTGCAGTTTTGGCCAATGTGTTCCTAATTTTTACCATGTTTAAAATGAAGCCTTCTACTGCAGGATGTTTTATACCGAACTAGCATCAGTTTAAACCGACCAGGGAGCTGTTTTATACCCACTGTTATCATCTAACCGTAGAGCTTAACTCAGATAAACAATATCTATTAGCAGTTATTTTGATTTCATTTTCACGTCTTTTAGAAGTTCACATTAAAAAGTCTATAGGATTAAATATACATTTAAAGTAATTACATTATTAAAAAAATACCTAAATACAACTAAATACAAAACACATATGCATGAACTGGTTTACAGGTTCAAGAAGTGCTAAAAAGGAAACAGCTGGGTAAAAAATGAAGGTTTTAGCTTCTGAAGGGGCGGATTGACCCAGAGCCCCGCTCCATAACAAATACACTAGTAGAAAAATAGCTTTTGTTTACATTTACTTTAGCGTCTGTCCCTTTGTTTATGTCTATAGTGAGCTCATTCTGGTCCGATTCCAACATTTATTTCCAGTTAAACGTTCTTCCCACCAGCTCAAAGAACTTGCGGTTTGGTTGGTGGAAGAACTGGTAGAGTTTCTGCAGGATGGCGGGAGCAACATGAGGATGCGCTCTGCCTTTTGAGTCATGCAAACATCGCTCTCGCCCGTGATCCCTCAGACAGTAGAATCCTTTTGTTTTGTTGAAATAAAAATTTGAAGCGTTGATCTGCGGCTCCAGTTTTAGGAACCGTTCCACCTTTTTTATCTCAGGTAAGGGGTCCTTGATAAGTCTGTCCCCATCCACAATGTGGATGCTCTCCAAGGGGAAGTACTGCAGCCAGTTCTGCATGTGAATGTAATAGAGACTGCGATTAAGCGCCTTGTACCCCAGGTTGATCTCTCCGTTCCTAACCAGCACTGACTCAATGGGCTGGTAGTGCTTGTGCTTCTGGAGACGGTTGTAAAAGACCTGTGTATAGTCTGAGAGCACCCGCTCTGTAGGGTCTCTGAGGATGAGGAGCAGCTTGATGTTGGGGTTCATCTGATAGATGCGTTTAGGGACCTTGGCAGAAGTAAAATAGGCTGGCGTCTTTTCCACCGTCAGCTGTTCAGGGAAGGCATAAGGCATCTGACTGAGGTACCAGGACAAGCCTTTCTGAAAGTGGCTCTCCCAATCAAAGAAGTGGACTTCATTCTGAGCTGCCACCACAGCGTTGTGCAAACTGAGCATTTCTATCAGCGCCCGCGTCCCCCCCTTCCTCACACCGATTATTATTATCTGAGGAAGCTGCTGCGAGGTCCCGTTGGGGTGGCTGGTGGTGCCATTGTCGGTGGCCGGCGAATAGGTGGCAGGCAGAGAAGACCCCCCGTCCGCCAGCGGCCTGGAGGGGAGCGGAGGGGACTGCAATGCAAACAGCAGCAACCCAAGGAGCAGGGCTGCCATGACAGAGGTCCTGACCCTGGAGGATTTCAGCCTGGCGAATGGAACAAAACTGTATCCCACATTGAAAGAGCAGCAAACCAAAGACGAAGGTCTGAGTGAAGGAAAGGCTGCCTGTTCTCCACCTGCAGCAGTGACCAGAAGGAAACAGTTGGAGTTAGAGAAAAGCAAGGGGAAAATGTTTAAATAAGTGAATAAACTTTAAATCTATAATGATGCATTTTAATAAGAAGGATGCAATGATATTCACAACAGCAGTTCACTATAGTTTTAACTATGAATGGATAAATAATGTCACTTCTAAATAACAACAAATAAAGGGAATTTAAAAAATGAAAATGCCAATAATGTTGGCAAAAAGATAGGAAGAAATAAAAGAAAATAGAAATCATACATTTTCGCCACATCATAATAAAAAAAATAAAGAAAAAAACTATGGCTTTTATTTTAGAATAAGCACACACTGATCAACAAATCCATGAATTATTAATCCCCTCCTTACCTTCAGACTACAATCCTCCACTCGACAAAGATCTCATCTCCTCTAGTTTGGGTCTTTGCGAACAGCAGCGAGGTTCTATCATCCAGTTCGGTTCCGCCGAATCTCCGCGCGTTAAGATGAACTCCGATCTGGATCCAACTTCACCTGAGCGCGTCTCTGCTCTCTCTGCTTTGCTTCACACGATCCTCCCCGGTTTTCACTCCCAGATGCCGTCAGCAGCTCCCGCCTACACCGAGCCAAGGTCCACTCCCCCTACCAGCAAACACAATGCTGGAGCTTTCTGACAGGACCAGAGAGCAGGGGCGCACATCAGAACCTGTAAAACAGCATTACAGCAAAGAAGTTTATTATTTTCAGATGAATACCTGCCATGTATACACAATATATACAGAATATTACAGATTTAAGATTTCTTTACTTTTAAATACAATAGCACATAAACGATTCAAAAGATCAAATGTTTTATTTTAATTTCAGCCAAAGAAAAATTTGTAAATATCAAAAACTTCTTTTTTTTTATGACATTTTGACATTTAATACAGGAGAAACAAAGCTCTCCTGACTGTGTATAAAATATAATTTACACTTGATCCTGAATTTGAGAACGCACAAAAACAGTCATCGAGTCTTTTACACTGTTTCGAAAGAATTTGAACAAAAATTTGCATAGACCATTCTAGAGACCACTTTATTTTTTAGGCATTGGGGTGGACTCCTCAGTACGTTTTCGATCATTGTCCCTTTACATAACTCAGTAGGCTTCAGCAGAAGTCTGCAAACATGCGGATATAAATATTATCTTTCAGTATTTTTCTATTACTGGGCTTCTAAATCATCCAGGTCTAGAGCAGCAAAGCAACTGCAGACCATCATTCTGTCATCACTACGCTTGACTCTCACTATGATGTTCCACTTTTAAAATGATATTAGTTGTAAATCTTATGTAACAGAAAGTTCCCATTAAGAGAATTTTTTTGGGATCATCCAGATGTTTTGTTTTAGTAATCTTAAAATGTTTATTTTGTGTGCTTTTAGGCTGCCTCAGTTTTCCCATTGGAACTCACTTATAAGAGCCTTATTTACTCATTGTCTTGTTTCTTCATTTGTGGATAAAGGATCTCCCCGTGTTTTGTTCAACTCTCAAACTCATTTCTATGGCTTCTTAAATGTTTTTGGATGCAATAAAATTTTTCTTATTTGTTTTTGATTGTTTTTAGTAGAGGATACGGTATGCTGCACTTTCAGATTGGCTTTTGTCTGAGGGTTTCACAGTAATAGAGCTGAGGGTGTAACTGTAGTGAAATCAAATGTTTGGTTAGTCACAGTTAATTCATCTTGTAGCACTTTTTGCACTTAATACAAATTGTATGAGTAAAGGTAACAAAGAATAAATGCATGTTTTAGTCATCAATAGTCTTATCTACACCTCTCTTAAGGGAGTGTACGATTTGATTAAGCTCAATCAGGAACAATCAAGGCTTGATTACAACCGGGGTGTGTGGCCCAGGGCCTATCTGTGGCCCTTAGATTGATTTTGCATGGTTAAATTAAACCCACAAACACCAAAATGTTTATATGGAAGACCAAATTGAATCTGCAATGGCAGATCAAATTCTCAAAATAAAAAATGTAAGATATGACAAAAGATGTTTTTTTTTTTTTTTTTATAGCTATGTGCATTTTGGCCTTTATTTTCATTTATTATCCAGTAGAATAACCATCCTGCAACCTCACTCATAAACAGACCAATTCTTTAAACTTGGATAAATGCATTAAGCATCTATGATGCATGCGCCTCCCGCTGCTTCACCTGTCCTCCTACCCCGCCCCTTTCCCTTTCTTTCATAAGGTATGGTGTTAAGGTAAGAAAAGAAAACCCAGCAGGTATTCAAAAGAGGCTTTTAAACATTAGGGCAGGGGTCTGCAACC